GGGCCGGATCGGGCTGGGCCGACCCATCGGGCCACCCAGCCCCATAAACAGGTCTAGTGAGAAGTGAGTCATCAAAATGTATACAGAGCCAAGTGAAGGATGGTGGGATGAACCTTCTTCTCAGCCAATGGCATCTTGGCTGAGAAGTGCAACTTGCAGTAAACAATTACAAGGCGTGTGTCCTCCACGCGCTTCTATGTTTTTATATTATTATTTGTTGGAAAAAGTGAGGGAATGAATGATTCATTCACTCAACAGCATTCCATGGCCACCGACTTCACCAACTTCTTCCATATGCCTACTATCTTTATGCCCATCATCACGTCTATATTAATCTAGAAGGTTGGGCCCCCAACTAGAAGGTTGGGGCCGTTGGAGACCAAAGCGAGGTGATAATGATCTCTTTCCAAAATTCAAAGTTGACGGCTTTAAAGTTTATTGTTTCATATTTTTTTTTGGGGTTTTTATTGTTCAGTCTACCCTACTTCTTAGTACAGCTGGATCAAATTTACCCTTACCACAGTTCATAGAGGTCAGCCCACCTCAGGAACTTTTATTTCCCAACACCTTCACCCATGATTCACTGCCCCTTGAATTTTGATTCATTCCTCTTCTGACCTTTAGAAACTGTGGTAGGGGCAACTGCAAAGAATTTGATCCAGTGGGTGGCCCAAATTTTATCCGTTTGTTATAATTGGATCAAATATGAAGCACATTCTTGATTATATTTAAATTTATCATAGGTTAAAGTTTCATATAACTTATTTTCAATTCATATTAATCATGATATACATCAAAGTTATTTAATTCATTAATTAATAAATTATAACCTTTTGAACATTTTAGTCTGTTTTTCTGAGGTGTGAACATTAAGGTGTTTTCAATGCACAGCTGCAAAATGTGCTGCAGGGTTAGTGTGGGGAGCCAATCCAGATTCATATGCTTCAGCTTAGTGTTTTTAAAATTGGATCAGACCGGACGATCGGACCAAAAAACTGGGAACTGGTTCCGTTTTACACCAAAACTGTTTTTGGCCAAAAATTATTGATTTGGTCAGAAAACTGTTGGTCTGGGCGATTGAACCATTGAATTGTTGACCTGGATAATGGTTTTTGGCTGTTTTTTATTTTTTGTCAGAGTGGGCCATCAATTTAGACCGAACAGTTGGACCATTCAACCTGGGAACCAGACCCCAGAATAGTTCCCTATCCGGTCTGATTTTAAAAACCTTGCTTCAGCCTCTTTGAATAGCTTGTCTGAAGCCCTTCAAAGGCAAAGAAGTTGAATGAGCTTTGAAGAAAACACAAAGTTTTGGCGCATATTGTATGACGAGTCTGGATCTGCTCCTCACACCAACCTTATAGCACATCTCAGCCATGAATCGAAAACATCTCTTATACTTGTGTATTATTAATTTGTTATTCATAGGGAGATGTTCCAATACACAGTGGGATGTGCTGAGGTTGGTGTAAAGAGTGTTCTGTAAAGAGCAAATCCCAATTCTTGTATAATACATACTTTTTTTTGAGAGAGACTTGTATAATACATGTTGAATTTTGAACCCACCGACGCAGTAATTAATAAGAAATAGTGGTATCTCTTTGAGTTTTAATAGTTGTAATAGTAGCAACTGGTAATGGGTGTTCACTGAAACTGACGGAAAACTTACATATGAAGTGCTCAAAATGGACCACATAAACGGACATTGAAAGAGTGGTTCGGAATTGCCCAAGGCAAAGGGATCACCACCAACTCAACTTAAAGGGAAAATCTGCACCCAACACAGCGTGCCCCATGGGCGCCCCATATGTACATCTCAACATGCATGGAAAACATCTCCCGAAATTATCAATAGAAAATGTTCCCAATACATGGTTGGGATGTGCATATGGGGAATGCCTCACAAATTTTGATTTTTCCAGGATCTCTCTCATAACTGAGTAGCATAAATAAATAGAGTAAGAAACTTTTTTTTTTCGAGTGAGAAACATTTATAGTTGGAGTCCTTGCAAATTCAACCGCCTAATAGTGGCCGAGCAAGTTAGTGAGAAACTCAATAGATTCCATCTATTGTAAAAAAAAAAAACTTGAAGATGTTTTTTTACCTATATTTTCAATAAATTCTATTTATTTGATGAATTGCAACCTAGGCTCCCTTTGGAAGGAGTACAAATACAAATATATAAAGCGTAAAATCTTGTATTTTGTATTATTTCGTATGTATTTAAACAATATATATTTGTATTTGTATTCCTTTTATATTAGGCTCAATTTGGAAAGAACACAAATGCAAATATGTAGACTGCAAAACCTTATATTTTGTATGTATTTACACTATATATATTCGTATTTATACTCTTTCCAAACGGAGCCTTGAGGCATATCACATATAGGTTCTGTTTTCAATAGTTTTTCTTTTTTTTTTATTTTTATAATTTTTCTGTAAACTTCTGTTTCCAATAGAAATTAATCCTCTATACCACCATTTCATTGTTCTTATGGGTGCATTGTAGTAGGTTGCAACCAGTATTCAAGAATGACTGTAGAACGAATTAATTGTAGCCCAATAGACACGGCTTCCGCCCATAGAGTCATAGACACAGAAACCGAGATAACTCTGAATTTGAAGCCG